ATTTTATATAGGAGTCCTGACGCCAAACCTTATCAAAAGCCTGGCTGACATCTAAAAATACTGCTACGGTGTGTTCCTTTCTATTCATGGCTTCTAGATTACGGGACACCGTTCTGTTGTATTGTTGAATTAGTGGGCTTTTCTGAAGGTAAACTGATGGTGTGGAATCCAACTATCATTGGGATGATCTTCTGGCAATCTATGCAACAGAAGTCTCTCTAAAATTTTTATTAATATCGATGAAAGACTGATAGGACGATAGGAACTAGCAGTGTGATGGTTTATGTTTGGTTTAGCGATCATAATAATTTCTGCAGTCATCAACGCTGTGGACCAATAATTATATTCAAGGATGACGTTGAAAATATTTGTTATATATAAAATACCTTTTATAGACAATTCTTTCATCATTTTATTATTTATCAGTAATTTTGTCCATACGAGGTGAAGATAATTTCACATAATAAATCTTTTGGGCATCTTTTTGTCCAAATTTAATCATTTTGGTTTGTTATTTTCAGAGGAGGGTTTTTATGTAGGGGTTTACTTTTGTTTTTGATTGGTTTCCATATGGAATTATCGTACCTATTTAGCTGCAGTCTATACGACCTGAATGTACAATTTTTCCATTCTTTCATTGTTTTTTCAGTATGTTATTGAGATGATTAAAGGATGTCTTATCCGTTGGTAGATGAGAATGTTTCCAGGTACGTCTTTTTTTGTTTCTGTACAATTAGCTTCTTAATCTCTTGCTGAATTATTAGATTATCATTTATTGCAATAATATTCGGGGTGATCTGCTTTGTTGCTTTACGTATCTCAGAAAATATTCTATTTTATTTTCTTTATCAATAACGCTTGTAGGCCTAGATTTTGGAAATAATTTTATATCAAGTATAGATTTAAATTGTATCTAGCTAGAAAATTTGTTGTGAAGAATGTGATTGTTGTTAGTTGGAGTAGAAAATATGCTAAAGATCATAAGAATGCGAGATTGATCAGAAGAAAGATTATAACTAGATTCATTATTAAGATTTGAATGATCAATTCAATACCTCTCACAATAAAAAATAAGTCTAAAAGGTCTGGAAGTGGAAGGTTGGGTCAGGGTTTGGGCCAATATGTTAGACTACAAGTTAAAATAAAGAAGAGGTTATTTTGCTCTATGGCTGCATGAAGTATCTTACCATTGGCTGTAATCAGTCTAGAACCAGGGCGAGCAACCTTTTCAACCCACAGGCCAATACTAAATGACCCGGCAAACGTTTAGCCACAAGAAATATTTCTAGAAAATTATTAGTATAAAAATAACTACTTCTTTTTGAATGTATAAATATGTAGTATATAACTAAAGAGGACAACTAACACAAATTACATTAATAATTTACCCACTGCAACGCTAAAATACTAACATTCATTATTGAATTATGTTTTATCTTCAGATCTTAATATTAAATTTAAACTTTCATTTGTTAGAATTGCTCTTTCTGCAAGACATTCAAAACCTACTTACTTATTATTAAATATTTGTACAATAGCATAAGCCTGCAAATTACTGATTATGCGAAAATCAATCGATAATTTGATGCATTTAGTTTAATTGCAAGTAACCATTTCGTCTCCAATATTTAAGAATTGTTTTGAAAACGTTGCAGCGGATAAATTTAAGCTTTCCTATTAAGCTCGAATTTTAATTAAAAACGTACACAAAAAACGATGATTGATCGATATCGAGCTATATAAAAAATAATTCGGCTACTAAAAGGACTATTATAAAATAGGAAAATCTTTAACTGTAGCTTTCCAGCGACTTTTATTTTGTGGACCTGTGTAATTGTTCGCACACATACGTACTTCCAAAAAAAATTGACATAATTTTTTTGCGTTTTTTGTCAATAGCGGAAATTTCTCAGGGTGGACATGAGATTTATAAAATATTACGATATTTACTGATATTTTTTTGTAAATATATGTTTTATTTTGCATACTGATCACTTCCTGTAATGGTTTTCATAAAGTGCACTTACATCGATAATAAATGGCAAAGGACATTTACATGAAAACAGCTGCCTTCTTAGCTTTGAATTTTTGTCATAACAATTAAAATTTGTTCACATTTTCTTATTCTAAATATGGGAAGTGAAATACAAGATTATGTAATAGATATTTTTTCTACAATTTTAGTTTGCACTCAAAGCATTGAATTTTATCATGCAAATTGTAAATAAAAAGTTCTTTATCTTGAAGTTCAAAATAGCACGCCTATTTTTTATTACCAAAATAAAGAAAGGTATATTTCTTTATATCCAAGAACAATTGTATTGCACTATTTGGGTCACCTTTAAGCATTGCAGCTCTATTGAGATAACGTACTTTGGTATTGATTTACTTATTTAATTATTTTAAATTTGGGAAAGCGTCGTTGCTTTGTTCTGGGAAAATATCTGGCGGGCCGCGGGCTGCTCATCCTTGGTCTAGAACCCCAGGCAATATGTTTACAATTATAGTCACCACCAATGATAAATTTATTACCTAATTGAGAGAAAAATGAAGAATGCTGAGAACAAGGAATTTTGAATCTTAGTGGAAAAAACACAAAAATTTTATAAATTTGTTTCAACACAAATTTGAGTTGCTTATACAAAAACATCACAAATATTTGGTAGAGCAAAATGCGTTAAATTATTTTTGATTAATATAGCCGAAACGACGCGAGTCTTGCCACTTTGATGATTTAAGTTATAAGTAGTGTAGTTATAAATTTTAAAGTAGGTTTAAAGAGTGATTCTGAGATTAATAAGACAACTATTAAGCTAAATTTAAAAAAAACATTCTACTTCATTTTCGTGAGGTAATTTGTGAGGGAGGTTGGCATTCGATTCAGAAATTTTAATTATTTTAGCCATTGCTTATGTTGTTGACAAACGTGGATAACATATTTATTATAATGGTGTTCTGTTGCATAAGCTGATTGAAGATATATTTGAATTCCAAAATAAATGTTGCTAGAGTATCATATTCGAAAGTTTTTTTATTGTTTTTATTAACAAATATAATAGCAATCAGAATCTTATTATTCTATAAGCTATTAAGATCTATTTGAACTCAAAACTGAATTCGCAAATGTGGCTTGTTTAGGAAACTCTCCAATGATAGCCCTTATTACTTATAGTAAATCAATAGGTTGTTTCTTTTTTAATCTTCTTCTGGTATTTGAAGATTCAGCGATGGATATGACTACTATTTTCATGTTGTTTAAGACAGTCATAATGGGATATGTTTCTATTTTTTATTGCTTCTTGTACTGTTCCATTTGAAGATCGTTGTGAATAATTTTGTTTGAGACGTTCCAGGGCGCTTTGGTTATAAATTGCAAAGCTTTTGACTGCAGTCTTTGAAGTTGTAATATTATATTCGGGTTTTGCTAGCGCATCCCTACAGTTCCACTCCGTACGTCCAGATAGGCTTGATTAGTACCTTATACAGCAAGAACTTGTTTTTTTGTGAGAGTTTGGATCTTAGCCCCAATATCCAGTAGAGTGATTTTATTCTTTTGTCGACTTGTTTACATTTTTTACTCATGTAAGTAATTCAGTTCAGTTTGTGATCCATATACATACCCAAATATTTTACTACTGTGGTTTCTGGAATAACTTTATTTTGAGTAAGATGACTTATTTTGTGGTTGTTTATACTATTTCCGTTATCGTTGGGTTTGAGCACTGATTCAATATAATCAGCAAAGCAGTCGGCTTTCTCTTTATTACTCCGAGCCCACGTAAACTCCCCTGGTTTGAACATTTTGATTGGATTGCTTAAGATATTCACTCTTTTATTAGACTTAGTTGCGCGTCATAGAGAAGTGCCCCCTTGTATTTAAGCTAGTAACAGATTTCTCAAAATTTTGCCTATTGAATAATCTTAGCTCATACTTGAGTTTGTTGTTGAGGTTATTGAGTAATGTTTTAACTCGAGGATTATGGTATCTTTGCCAGATCCTCCTAACTCTTTTTTTTCTGCTATTAGCTTTTTAATTTCTATGCTGGTGTTCGGATTGGGTTTGGGTTTGATGTGTGGCGTCGAAACTATGGCTGCATTCTGTAGAAGGTTTGTTATTTTGACTAGTGATTCCTCAATATCCGTGGGACCTTTCAGTTTTACGCTTAGATCTATGTTTTCATTAAGTAGTTCCTATAGAGCTCCCAGTTATTAAAACCGTTATGTAGATATGACGGAGACGAATATTCGGCTTCGATAGAACCTACTGTTAAGGTACGCGGTGAATGGTCAGAAATAGATCGTAGCTTGTAGTTATGGTAACGCTGGCAATACTTATGCCATTAGTTATGACAAAGTCTAATAGATCGGGGTGTTTTCGTAGATCACTTGGCCAATAAGTAGGAGACCAAGGAGAAATAAAAGCGTATTCTTTGCACTGATAACCTTTTCCAACTCACAACCCTTAGATGTTGTAATTCGTGATTCCCATGTTGTGCTCTTGCAGTTGAAATCACCGCCTACCATAAATCTTGGACCCAGTGTATTAAAATAATCTTGAATCTGTTCAGCTTTTATATTGTGTCTAGGAGGACTGTATATAGCAAAAAAGGATATGTCATAAGGCAGTGCCCTTACTATAACTGTTGTAGCTTGAAGGTGTTCAGTACTGCTTCGTGATGGACTAAGTTGGATTTAACCAACACAGCACTTCCAGCGTGGCTTGCTTCATCTGGATGCGGAGTGTGATATGTCGTATAACCAGGAGTTCTGAACGTAGCGTTATCTGTTAAGTAAAATTCACTAATTACGAATATATTAATTTGGTGTTCCTGTATAAAATTTTTCAACTCTGCTTTGCATTGGTGAATGCCGCTGGCATTCCATAAGCCTGTTTTTAGAAATTTATCCATTATATTATTTTACTCACGATTAGCGATATCTTGCTCATTATCATGGTATTTTGTCAGATTATTTGTTTCATAACATCTTTAAATTCAATGATGGATGATGTTAATGTAGTCATAATGTGAGAGTCGTGTGTTTGCCATCTGAGTATTTGGGCGTAACTTGTGTGTTGTGAAGTATTGTTTGCAGTTATCGGTCGATCTTGTCTTCTTGAAGCGGTGGCCGTTGGTTGGTTTTGAAGTTGGGTGAAATTTTTTTTCCTGTTTTTATCGAGATTGTGGAAAAGATTGCAACCCTTGTAGTTGGCAGGATGAGCTCCGCCGCACAAAAAAACAGCAAGCTGAAGTGTCTTTGGATTTTACGCAGGCGTGCGGGCGGTTGCAGTAACTTCTTGAGTGGCCATAGAGCTGGCATCTATGACTCTGGGTGATGTCTCTTGTACTCCTTGGAAGCTCGAAGTTTACTATCTGATTCATCAATTCGTTGATCTTATAAATAGTAGTGTTGCTGGGTGCAGGTTCTAAATCAACAAAGAAAATGTTTAAAGGTTTTTTTGTTATACGATGCTTCAGGTAATTATTGCTTCTGACTTTATGTCCATAGTTTTCGATAGCAACTTTAATGTCATTGACATCTGTCGAAAAATGAATATTGCTCTGACTTGTCCACGGTTTGAACAGGTACTCGGATTAGGGTCCGGCGGTCGGCCTAAGGCCTGCCCGTGGGCCCTCGATGGCATAACTCGGATTATAAATACACTTGTTATTGAACGATGTGCACTCTACAATGTCTGGCACAAAAATGAAATTCGGGATTTGAAGGTGAATTATTAGAAGCAGAATAATTATTTTTTGCAATGTCTATATATGATGAGTAATGAATTGTTGGCTTTAAGACCGGAGAAATGTTGTTCAGATTTTTAGAATTTTTAACCTTCCGTAGGAAAAATTTTTGTGTTTCTCGGCGTTTTGAAGGTTTCTGAACATTTTGGCATACCTCAGAAAAAGTGGATGTGTGTGCGTGTGTGTTTTGTATGTCCGTATTTTTTCGTCCACGTTTTCGGGCGCAGGGATCAACCGATTTTAATGGTTCAAGAAACGTTCGATTCCTATTGACAGGGAAATGTGCTGATTAGTTTTTGGCAAAGGCAGGTTCAACCGTTACGGAGATATGGAGCAAAGAGTGCAGAAAATACAAATCGAGTTTTTGAATAAATGGAGTATCCGATTTGAATGATCTAAAAAAACATTCACTTTGTATTGATTGGGAGAAGAAGTGATAAGTTATTGGCAAAGACAGATCCAGCCATTTCTAAGATACAGAGCTAAATGTGCAAAAAGTGGCAGTTTTAGAGAAAACTAAGCGTCCGATTTTGAATGATTCAAAGAATTTTCTGCTTATTTCATGAACATTTTAAGAAAAGAATTGGCCAAACTGGTCCATGCTTTGTGGTGTTATGCGCTTGTCGACACATTTTGCGATTCATTTTTATATATAAGATATTATATTTATCTCAGACTAGAAAATTATTTTTGTACATATGTATATAAAACATATACATTTTGTACGTCATGTATACTTTGTTTTTGAAAAATATCTATGATTTGGCTTTAAAATATATAAGTGTTATTAACCATAGGATAAGTTACAGTAATAGCGTAAATATCAAAAATATTTTTTATATATCTCCACGTTTCAAAGTTTTCTGAACATTCCAACATACCTCAGAAAAAATTGACGTGCGTGTGTGAGAGAGTTTGTATTCAAATGTTATTAGTTAATTTCGGAAACACGAATCAAACGATTTAAAAAATTCAAAAAATCTTCGATTAATAGTTTTTTGTAAAGGTAGGTCCAGCTACATCCAAGATCTTGTCAAAAAGTGTCAATAATGGTAATGACGAAATAAAAAACTGTTTGAATTTTAGGAAAGACGGGTCTAGTTATTTCTGATATACAAAAGAAAAGTTTCAAAAAATAGAAATTGGCCGCAAAAATGATCATTAGACAATAAATGATCATATGCACATCAAATTATCAGATAATTTATAGATATAGATATTTTAATATTAAGTACAAATTTCAATAATAAGTACACTTCTATGGGTTCCGCTGCGATATTTCAATTCTAAACAGCAATAGAACGCGATTGCTTTGTAAACAAATTCAGTTTTCGAGAAATTTAAAAATCTCTTTTTTTTCAAAATTCTCAAAAATATAATTTTTGCAATGTTTTCAAAAATGCTTTTTCGAAAATTTTAATTTTTGGAACAGAAAATACCAGCATGCACCACCAATTAAATTTAATAAAATACTGAACGATTTTAGCTCCCAAAACATCCGGCAGAAGATCGCGAAAATCTGGAGTTGATCGAAAGCCACGACAAGCATATAGTGCTAAACAACTCGAGCGCCTGGAAGGTGAATTCAAATTAGACAAGTACTTAAGTGTTAGTAAGCGAATGGAATTATCAAGGTCATTGGATTTAACAGAAGTTCAAATCAAAACATGGTTTCAAAATCGAAGAACAAAATGGAAAAAACAGTTAACATCTCGCCTGAAAATGGCTCAAAGACAAGGCGCTGCATTTGCTGGCAATTACTTTCAACAATTTCACTATCCACTTTTTGGTAAGTAATACTATATCTGATATTTTAAAATTACTGTTATAATTTACTTGTCATATTTTTAACAAAACCTATTTATGTAAAATTTCTGGAGTCAGGAAACTTGATTGTTCACAGGGGTTTACTATAAAAACTGCAATAGCCCACAAATGCTCTTACTGTCAAATGCTAGTTTTGCATTACATTCTAGATGAATGAATGAATGTGTTTTTATTTATTGTGTTACTAAGTATTTTTCAAATAGGGTAGGGCGGGGTACAAAGGTCCAATTTGAGCAATTATATTGTCAAAACCAAACCAAATATATGACAACAAATAATACATATTGAACAAACAACTTTCTTATCATTATCAGAGAAACACCTAGTTAATTCATCATTCCAGAAACCTGCTTTTTCAAAAAATTGTCACCTGAACTTTTTTGCCAATGGGCGGGGTAAAGTGAAACAGCTATGGGACAAACAAATTCAATGTCTTATTTTTAATTTTGAAGGGATTTTACAACATTTTTACAGAGATATTAATGCAGTGTTATCTGCAGTATATAAACTTTTTTTACAAAATCGATAGGTGTAAAACAAGAAATAATACAAAAAAATACAATAAATTGAATATAAAATGAAAAAAAGTTAAAATGAAATAAAATAATAACAGTAATGGGCACTATGATTGTTTTGTACAGAAGTACCTTGTTATCGAGAGAGATTTCGGATTTTCGGAAGCCAGTAAAAATCTTTTATGTTCAGTTGCGGTTGTTTCTTTTTATTTTCAATGTGCGTTCTCCATGTCAATTTTGTATCGATGTGCATGCCCAAATATTTAACAGAGTTGCATAGTGGAATTATTGAATAGTTAATGGTGATGGGTGGACTGTTGTGGTGTTTTAGTGAAATAATCGTGTGCTGAGATTTCTCAATATTGATTTTGATATTCCATTCTAAAAACCATTTTTCGAGACAAGATAAATAGTTTTGTAACTAACAATTTGCTGTTGTAATGTCAGAATTGCATAGAGTTATAGCTATGTCATCGCCGTAAGTACATATGGTGTAAAGATCATCTATGGGCATATCGCTTGTAAAGAGGACATAGCTCACTGCCTTGTGGTACCCCGCGTTATATATTTTTAATGCTCAAAGTCACATCTTTAATTTTGATTCTAAAATTTCTTTTAAGTAAAAATGAGTTTAAGATATTGAAGTAGTTTGAAAAAGTTGTGTTGATTTTATATGGGAGTCCTGAATGCCAAACCTTATCAAAAGCCTGGCTGACATCATGGCTTCAGGAATACGACACACAGTTCTGTTACATTGTAGAATTGTGCAGTGGTCTTTTCTGAAGCCAAACTGGTGGTGTGGAATCTATCATTGGGATGATCTTCTGAAAATCTCTGCAACTGAAGTCTCTCTAAAATTTTCGATAATATCGCTGAAAGACTGATAGGACGGTAGGAACTAGCAGTGTGATGGTTTTTGTTTGGTTTAGCAATCATAATAATTTCTGCAGTTGAATTATACACGGTAGGAACTAGCAGTGTGATGGTTTTTGTTTGGTTTAGCAATCATAATAATTTCTGCAGTTTTCCACGCTGTGGGCCAATATTTATATTGAAGCTTGGCGTTGAAAATATTTCTTATATATAAAATGCCTTTTATAGACTTTTTTATCATTTTAGAAGTAATATTGTCCATACCCGGTGTATGAAGATCTGTTTTTCATCTTTTTTATTTCACATAAGACATTATTTGGTGAAAAATGTCCTAACGGTGTTGAATGTACGGGTTGATTTACAAAATTGTTAATTAAATTATTCTGGGAAATATTTCGAGTGCTAAAAATACTACTAAGATGATCTGCAAATGCCTCCGCTTTTTCTTTGTTGCTTTATGCCCAAATGTAAACATTTTGATTTGTAATTTTCAGAGGAGTTTTTTTTGAAGGGGTTTTCTTTTGTTCTTGATTGGTTTCCATATGGAATTATCGTACCTATTTAGCTGCAGTACAAACGACATGAATGTTCAATTTTTCCATTCTTTCATTTTTCTTCTCAGTGTGTTATTGAAATTATTATGGGATGTCTTACTCGTTGATAGATGAGAATGTAGCCAGGTACGTCTTACTTTTTGTTTCTGTGCAATTAGCTTCTTAATCTCTTGCCGAATTATTAGATTATCATTTCTTGGAATAATATTCGAGGTGATCTGCTTGGTTGTTTCACGTACTTATATTTTCTTGATCAATAACTCTTGTAGGCCTATTTTTTTGAAATAATTTTGAATCTAGTATGGATTTAAATTTTGTCCAGTTAAAAAAAATCGTTGGCATTCCATTCAGCAATTTTAATTATTTTTCCCATTGCTTATATTGTTGACTAATGTGGATAACATATTCATTATAATGATGTTCTGTTGCATAAGCTGGATGAAGATATATTTAAATTTCAAAATAAATGTTTCTAGACTATCAGATTCGGGATTTGAAGATGAATTTTTAAATGCACAATAAATAATTGTTTTTTGCAATGTCTGCATATTATGAGTCATAAATTGTTGGCTTTAAGGCCGGAAAAATGTTGTTTACAAATTTAGAATTTTTAAAAATTTGGTTTAACGAATTTGGATTTATTATTGATTGATCTACTGGAGTTTTGTTTCTTTGTGCTTTAATTTTTTAGAAGTAAATGCAGCCGGGGTTATTAGCTGGATGAGCACCGTCGCAAAACTAGCAACATGCCGGAGCATTCGGATCTTTCGTATAAGCTTTTGTGTATTATGATTATCACCGCATTTTAGGCAAGCAAATGGTCTATTGCAGTACTTTGTGGTGTAATTAGAGGGTTCATTGTATTACGTTGTTAGACTTTCTCTGTAGTCCGATGCGTATTGTGTAGTTGAATAATTTGTAAATAATATGAATGTTTTTGTTTTTTCTGTTTGGTTCCATATCAACAAAAAACATATTTAGAGATTTTTTTGTTCTTCTATGGCTAATATTTGGGATATTACAGTACGACATGTCCCTGTTTTGATAGTTCTAATTTAATTGAATCTGTGTTTGTTGAGAAATGTATATTTATGTATGCCTTCTCTTTTTTTAATTGATGTGTATGATATACGGCGTTAGTTTTTTTAGATGTCTTGATAAAGTTTGAAAATGGTCTACAGAATTACATATAATTTAAACGTATTTTTAGCTAAACTTCTCAGGAAATATTGATCGTGCGGAATTATTTCATTTGATTGATTTGACATATCATTAATATCTTCAACTCTGTAAATAAATATTGGAGGGGGCTTACTAATTGAAGCCGGTTTAACAGAGTTATCATTATTTGCTGTATCTATTAAAGAAAGGGCCGAAAATCTATTTTGGATTTTGACATCTATTCCTAATGGATTCAAATGATGATTTTCTTTTTATGGAAATGACTACTTGCTATGAGTTAGAAGGTTTCTTGATATTTGATTGTGTTTGAGAGAGACATGCAGATGCATTATTACTAGATGATAATACTTTCTGCATTGAGTTAGGATCTGATGTAGATGGACGCAGCGAGTTTTTTTTTTGTTGTAAACAGCTTGGACGGACCTTCTACGATCTAATAACGGTCCTTCGTAGTTTTAGTATTTCGGTTGGTTTGCTGTTCGATTCCATTTTTGTTGTTATATCATAAAATTGTTGTTGTTAAATTATAAAAAGTTGGCATATTTAATCAGGATTGTATTATATTATCAATACTATTATCCCGTTCGGTTTTACCGTTTAACAAACCCTGTATAACTCTAAATGTATTTATATTTTATTATAAGTAAAAACATAATATTTTTGAATATATAAATAATTCAACTAATTTTAGGTTCATATTATGCTCCTCATCAAAATGGTTACAGTAGTCAATTGACATGTGTTCTATCAGATCGATCAGCAGCAAGAGAAATCAATGATAACGAAACAACAAATACTTAAAAAATATTGGTTCAAGTGATTGATAAAAATAATTAAAATTCATTTTAGTTTACCAATTTTATTTATGTTAATATATATATATATATATATATATATATATAAACTAATATAATGTATGTGTAAAACTATATTTATAAATAATTCACTATATATATATATATATATATATATATATATATATATATACAAATGTATTCAGAGTGGATAGATATTAATTTAGAAATTTGAACAAACAACACTCTTTTTTGCACTAATTTATTAAATGATAATTTTACAAACGTTTCGAGACTAGGTTGTTGACATCTATTTTTCAACTGGGCTCTATTCCTTTTTTTTCCTATTTGATATTTCATGACTTACCTAGTTGACCTTGGATAGAGAAATCAGACTCCGACGGCATTGCAGTAGAAGGAACGACTTGTAACGGATAACACATAATGCTAATTTAGATTTTCATATTTTAAATTTTTAATTATAACACACTGATGATGAGACAAACCTAGTCTCAAATCGTTTGTAAAAGTATTATTTAAAAAAGAGTGTTGTTTGTTCATATTTCTAAATTAATATATATATATATATATATATATATATAAGTATATATATATATATATATATATATATAGTATATATATATATATATATATATATATTATATAAATTTATTTAAATTGTATATTTATGGCAAATTATTTAATGTAGCTTTTTGGAAAATATATAGAATAGAAACTGTTTGTATTAAAATTGATGACATTACACTACATCAGTTATCCTATAATAAAAATGTATTTTAGTTGAATATTTATGTTTTTTATTTAACTTTTTAACAATTCTACATTGATAATATAATTGATATTTATTTAACATATTCTGGTACTAAAACTTTTTGGCCTAGAGTGATTAAACCAATAATCAGAAAACTACCGAGCAAAAAACCAGCCAGATCGGTCGAACTACAGAACAGTATACTTAACAATTACCGACAAAGGCATTATTTTTTTCTGCTTTATCTTTAACACTATTACCAACATTAAGGTCAAGGAACCGCAAAATTACAAATGTATCAGCCTCCTCAATATAACGTGTAAAGTGACTGAAAAGTTACAGATCAAACGACTAAACAGACACATAAGACTCAAGCTGACCCGGCAAACGTTGTTTTGCCATAAAAAATATGTATAGTAGAAAATAACTAATTAATTGCAAATTGGTATGTAAGTGAAAGGGGCAGCTAACAAAAAAACATATGAATAGTTTATCCACTGCAAAGCACGTCACATATAAATGTTCCTGGATAATATTAATAGTCTTTGCAAGAATCAACCTAATCTGAAACTGATTCTATTCATATCAATTAGCACATTTACAGTTTCAAGATTTGATATATAATTACCGCGCTTTTGATTAATCCATTAATTTTTGATTTACGAAGTAAAACCCGATAATACATTTCTAAATTATGTTGTTATGTAGCATGCCCAGCGAATTGACTAATATTTATGCTTTCAATGCTTATTTATAGTATATTTTTTATAATGTATATATGTATAACTTTCATTCATTGATATTTTATTTTGTACTATATTTCTTAGCAGTAATAATAGATATTTTAAATATTGTTTCTTTTAATGTGTTAATTTGTTTAACGCCAGATCCAACTAATTATCGCTACTGCCCCTGACCATGAAACATATATTTATTAAATTGAAATTCAGTCAAACACATTTAATTTCATAAACAATACTATTAATATTATTTTAAAATAAATTTTAAGACTCTCACAAATATATATTGCTTTCTAAACTTTCTAACAATAATTTTCCATCAAGTCAAAATTGGCAATATAATGTTGCATAATATTTATTAATTTATTTAGCAGATGATAATATATAATCTTCAAGTAGACTCACTTAGAAACGCGGTATAATATATATAAACAGATGCAGTCAAATATTACAATTACAACAAATGTTCTTTTGTACTGTTTCAGTACTGTTTTGTACTGTTTCAGTGTTGCGTACGCCTCAGCAAAGAGTCTACTGTACCCAACGTTATCGCTCGAATTATTTGTAAGTCGTTGCTCTATAAATTGAAACTTTCAATATACCCTATGTCCTAAATGGGATCCATATGCACACGGTGAGCAAAACAAATTTTAAATCGGTTCAGTATTTTAGGCGTCCATCGCGGACGTAAGGTGTGACGCTAAATTTATATATATTAAGATATATATATATATATATATATATATATATATATATATACATATATATATTAAGCAACATAATATAAGATTGATCAGTGTATCCTATCTTATTTAAGCACTCACTTAGTTCTCACTTTATAAATCACTGCTAAATAAATCTATTACAAATAAAGAAAAAAAAAAACAATACAGAGACACAGGTACTTTGTTTAGAAATTGACAACCAGACTTTCTTCCTGGTTCAAAAACTAATCTACTGTATATTTTATCATCTTACCTATCTTATTTTAATATACTTTTAATTTAATATGCTAAACAATAAACCTGTGGGTAAAAATTTATATTTAAGTCAATAATATATATGTATATTTCTTAAAGAAATATATTTTTTTCTGATTCCATTTCTGATTGGCATAGATTGTACTATTATCATTCTAGATTCTGTTTCAATACAACAACTATTTCAATACTCAAAACAAGTGTATTCTACAATGTACGATCATATCTAAGGATTTATCAAATCATATTATGTATTTAAAATTTACTTATAAACAGTTCAACAGTTCCGTACCCTAATTAAATCCATTGGAGAAATAAAAATAATCAATAATTAATCAAAATTGATCAATTATTCAAATTGTTTAGTAGATCTATTAAACTTTATCATAAAACACCAATTTCATAAATTGTTTACATACTGATATGCGTACAGAATTTTTTTTTTTATTTCTGTACGCAATATTTGCGTTATTTTCGGAACTAGTATAATATTCAAGTTTATAATCTTTAATTCTTAATTAACTTCCCAAAGGAGAAGTTTATGTTTTTATCAAAAAATCCGATTCGATAATTTTATATTTTCTCGACGTTTCAAGCCATTCTGAATCGAATGAGACCAAATTTGGAAAAAGTATGTGTGTGTGTGTGCGTGTGTGTGAACAAATTTTTTGCTTTAAATCGACGTTTTCTCAAAAACGGTTGGACCGATTTCAAAAATCAAAAAGCCATTCATTGTATTTCGTTGAGGACTAGCGTTTCTGAGTTTTGCGTGACGATCGGCGGAACCGTTTCTTTGTAAATCGCAGAAAAGTGAAAAAATTTTTGTCCACGTTTTAGTTTTTGAAAATTCAAAAACCGTTCGAAAGATATTGGTTGGAAATCGTGCTGATTAGTTTTTGGTAAAGATCGGCCGGGCCGTTTTCTTGTAATAAAGTTTATAAAAAAAAATTTCGTCGATTTTTTTTATTATTTTTTTGACGGTAGATACCATAGTCTTCTAGATCATACTAAAATATTACGGCCCCACGACAAGTCGTTTAATTTTAAAAATTCGTCAAAGTTTGCAAAAATTGGTATTGTTTTTTTGACATTTGTCAAAATTAGACTTTTGATCGACGTTTTCTCAAAAGCGCCTGAACCGATTTCAGAAATTTAGAAGCCATTTGATGTATTTCGATGAGGACTATCGTTTTCCAGTTTTTTGCGACGATCTGCCAAGCCGTTGGCACAAAAGTGTTGAACTTTTCGTCCACATTTAAGCTATTCCTACCGAACCGATTTTAAAAAATCAAAAACTGTTCGAAAGATATTAGTTGGGAATGGTACTGATTAGTTTTAGGTGAAAATCTACCGAGCCGTTTTCTTGTAATTACTTGTTGAATAAAAATTTAGGCCGATTTTTATAGATTTTATTTTTGGCGACATATATCATGGTCTATAGAACTCACTGTAATATTACGGCCTTACGACAAGTAGTTTAATTTTAAAAATTCATCAAAGTTTGAAAAAATGTGTTGTGACATTTGTTAAAATTAAAATTAGACGATTTACTTGGCATAACGATATAGTACTTGGTCTTATTGAACATACTCAACCATTAAAATCCTACGGAAACTGGCTCGATTATAATAATTGTTGATTTTTGAAAATTCGCTTTTAGAAAATACTCCGAGTCAAAATGTTCGTTCGTTTTCAGTGATGTGTAATGAATCCACTCGGAATGCTTTTAATCATATATAAATTAAATTATTTTTTATTTATTAAGTCGATTATTTAAACGTATCGGGAAGTTCATGTAACTTGCCTCAAGGCTAAATACCAAACCAACTAGTTTTAGTTTGTATAATGATCGAAGATCCTTGATCCAGACTGAAATGATCCAGACATCAGGATGTTTGGTACTATATATTGAGTAGTTGGGAATATTCAAGAAACTTTTATCTGTGAAGTGCGTCTCTGAGATCAGCATTACGTCGATATTATTATGCACGAGGAAATTTCTGATTTCCAAATGGTGTTGACTTAGGCCATCAGCATTTCAAAGGCACATGTTCATTTATTGTTTACCATTAGACTTGTTAGTATTTTGAACATTGTGCCCATCTGTTCTAATAGAGTTTTCATCTTATAAAGATTTCAGCTCATACATGTCATTGCCTTGTTTGCTTGTAACTGCATTGGTTTACTAATTGGGATAGATTCAAAGAAATTCTTGATCATGATATAAATTGTAATGTTCCATTAAAATCCAGAGATAATATAAAAGAGGCCATTGCATTTCTCACAAAAACTAGTTGTATTATTTTTGTGAGAAATGCTCAAAAATCTACTTCTACGATTGATAGTCATTCTACAAAACAAATTCCAATTCACATTAAAGAAACAATAGCCATAAAAAGAGACTCAGAAAAAAACTAGATAATCTAACAGCAACTAGTGACACTAATTATTCACTATGCAGAATGACCAAAAACTTTAAAAGACCTGTTATACATACTTCACCAATTAAAAAAGA